GAGTTTTCTGCTATTTGAAAGTTGCAGTAAAAAATATTGTTTCATGTAAGATAACAGTATGTGCACTCCAGGATAAGCGTTTCTCTAATTCGAGCCTCAAGACATTAGCAATGTGTTCATCTACAGTCCGGAGGAAATTTCAGCAGTATAGCCTCTGCTGAAGATTAGTAATTTTAGACTTGCTTACTCAAGCCAAGTTTTTTAAATCAAAGCTAGTATTTTACAAGTTTTATAAAGTAAAATTGGTATGCATATAGTTTGAATATTTTCTAGCTTGAGTATATAACTGGAGAGACAAAAATGATGATAAATGAGAAAGCAAAACTGATATTCTTGGAATTGCATGACCTTGTGAGAACACGGGAAACAGGCTAACAGTAACAAACATCAAGAAAAATGGTTCGTTTTATCTTCTAACAAAGCCAAATTGGAGTGGTCTCAGGACCAATGCATTTGCGATGAGCGGTACAGGAGGGATGGGATTCCTTAATTAGTTGAAGCAGTGCCAGTGATTGATAATGACCTGGGAAATGAGCTAGAGCATTTTAGAGGCAAGCAATGCATTATCCTGGAGGTACAGGCATGGGAAGTTCTAATCCCACAGAATTCATCAAGAGCAAAGCACCTTCAGACCAAATGAGTTCTTCTAGGAATTATGAGGTTGATACTACCAGCTGTCTATGACCTTAGTTTTGGATGTTACATGCTCAAATGAATGAAAAATCTTTAATTATATGAAATGTAATAGGCTTGGAGAAATAGAAAAGCAAGAAACAAGTGCTGAGAACAAACTGCCCAGAGAGAGAAGCAGCAGTGGAGTAGCCTCTCTCTCCTGACCCTGTTATTTGCTTTGCTAAAATCCACTTTTGAGTAGCAAGATGGAGACTGAAATGGCCATAACCAAAATGTAGTAAGAATTGACCTTGCCTCAGATAATGACATGTTGCCATGACCAAACTGAGACTGCTTTGAGGGATGGAAACTATTTTGTGAGTCTTCTGCGCTATTCCCTGGCAGGGCTGAAAGGTTAACTAAACCATTTTGCGTTCCATCACCACATTTGCACAACCCACTCACAACTCTTTACAGTCCTGGCTTCCAGCCTTGGAGAGGAGAAGTAGGTTAAAAGGGATTATGTAATGCTAGCTTAGCGTTGCTGGGAGAGGGACATGTGCATGACTAACAAATGCAGCTCCCTCTGTTCTTCATATTTGTTCTAATAAGCTTCATTCTGAATGGAATTCTGGAAGGAGTGAAATGAAATGGAGAGCAAAGAGATAGGGGAAGGGGGATACAGAATACAAAATTCTTTCCTTCTCTCCCACATAGATGCCACACTCTGTGGGAGGAAAAGAGTGACAGCTAAGAACAAAGAGTACTTTTATATTGCTTCATTGTGGAACACTGAAATTGAGTTTTTGAATGTACTAAATCCACTTGACCATGTAACGTCTCATCACAGAACATTCTTTCCCCATAAAGTTGACGCTTTAGTTCGACAATTTAAAAACTTGTTTTAGAATGATAACCAAAGCAGATTTACATAAGATTCAGCCAACTTTTTCCTAGTAAAAAAAAATTTGCACTAAATGCTTATCTTGACCTGTGTCTTTAAGACATATGGGAAATACAAGGGCAAAACAGAATCATGGGGAATATGATCAGACTTGCTTCTGCCCATTTTCTAATCAAATAAACTTCAAAATAATCAGTTCTATTTCAGATAAAGAGCAATGCACAGATGTGGATGGAGAAATGTATGGAGTGGGAAAAAGGAAGATGAGAACAAAGATGAGATTAAATAAACCAGCATTTATCAAAAATTCATTATGAGAGTGTGTAGACACTCCTATTAAGCATTCTTTCTTGCTTGCTTAACCTTCAAAACATTTCTGTGTCCCCTGAATACACGTATTTCATTTTTAGAGGAGGGGCAGCATCTTCAACTGTATTACATTTGATATTGATATTTGTATTCATGACAAGACTGAGATGCTAAGAAAGATACTAAATCCTCCCACAAAATTTGCCACAGATAGTGCTCCAAAGAATTTTTTGTGTAAAGCCTTTCTTCTGTAACCAATAGTTTTTATCCATAACTGTTACATTTCCTGGCACTGAAAATTGCTTTGACTCTGGAAAAAGGAAACTGTGTATTAACATCCTAAATGATGAGTTTGATTCAGCCCCCTCATGAGTGTTTCCTGGGTTGACATATCCCTGTTACCAGGAACAAACCTTACCTAGGATATTTCTGGATGATCTCCTGGTAGGTAAAAATAGAGAAAGGCCTGTCACCTTTTTTTTTCCCCCCTTTATTTTATTTTATTTTCTATTTTATTTTATGTGTATGCATGTATTGCCTGCATGTAGGTAAGTGCACCCATGTTGTGCAATGCCCGTGGAGGTCAGAAGAGGCTGTTGGATGCCCTGGGACTGGAGTTATGTACAGTTGTTAGCTGCCATGTGGGTGCTGGGATTTGAACCCAGATCTGCCACAAGAACAACCAGTGTTCTTAACCGCTGAGCCATCTCTCCAGTCCCTGGCCTGTCACCTTTTAAATTCTGACATGGAAGTGGTTCAAGAGGAGTTAGGGACAGAAAGAAAAAATCGCACCCATTTGCCACATAACTGTAGGAAACTCTCATGATGATTATTTCTAGGCATTTTCAGTATTTAAGGACCTTTGGACAAACATAAGTTGCATGGAACCTCTTTTCTGCATATCCTGAGATTACTTTGCTCCTTTTTGTAATGTCTTTCGTTAAATTTGTGACTATCCCTTGATTTCGCAAGCCTCTCCACTTTCCTAACTCTCCCTGGCAAATCTTGGTAACCAGCAAGATACTTTCAGCTCACAGTTAATTATAGATAGTTTTAAAGCAGCCTTCAAGTCCCAAAATAAGCCCTGTCTGTGTTGGATGAACCTAAAATATTGCTAAGTTATCAGGATCAGTGGAAAGTTAAGGCTAAGCAAAACAAAGAAAACCCAAGAATCCATAAATTCTTCACTATTTTCATTTTGTTATATCCTCGTTTTCTGGCTTGTAAGTGGAGAAAGTAGCAAACAAAAACAAGAATTGCAGGTAGAAAATGAAGTTAAAAACAGCATGGTGAATGACACGGGAACCTGAGAACATGTTTATAGCTAAATTTGAAATTGTTTGTTTTCCTTTACAATGATATTGTGAGTGCAAATGAAATATGCAAAAACTATCAAAGTGTCATTGGCAAAAGATTTTCAAGAAAAGTAACAACATAGACCCTAATATTAACAGGGTTTTTGTTTGTTTGTTTGTTTGTTTTGTTTTTCAAGTAGAGCTCAGCATATAGAGCTAAATTTTATATCCTTGTTTATTTTAATTCACTGATCAATTGCTCAGAGAGGTCTGACAAAAGTAAAGTTAGTCTTTCATGTTTTGTCTAATATGTGGCATGTGAAATATACACCTATTTTCTGTGAATACAAAATTGCTCTTGCTACAGGGTCATGCAGGCTTAATTCTACAGTTCCAGTAGCCCCAGAACACGGACTATTGACAGTTTTGAGCACAAGAAACAGAAAAGTTACAGTGTTACAGCAGTGTCTTGGTAAACTAAAGAACTAAAGAACTAAGGTTTTTGTTGGGTATTTTTCTTTTTCCTTTTTATTTTGTGTGTGTGTGTGTGTGTGTGTGTGTGTGTGTGTGTGTGTGTGTATGTTGGAGACTGAACTCAGGGCCTTGCTAAGTATGGGAACCTACTGAGCTATGCACCACTCACTTGTAGTTTCTTATAGGCATAATTAGTTTAAAGAAAATTATTCATTATAAGTATGTTTTTCTATTCACTACAAAGGTACATAATTGTGTTAATAAAAACTATTTTCAGTTGATGTCAAAGCAAGATTTTAAAAGTGAAAAACAGGAAAAAGTTTTAAAAGTTCTCATACTACTTTGCATTAATTATGTCATTTAAACTTTTAATAATTCAGTGAATATCCCCATTTTAATATAAATTTAAGTCTCAGGACTCATAACATGGATATATATATATATATATGAGTTGAGACAGGGTCTCATTATGTAGCCCTTACTGGCCTGGAACTTGCTGTGTAGAACAGGCTGGACCCAATCTCACAGAGATTCTCCTGCCTCTGCCTCCCGTGTGCTGAGATTAAGGCACGGGCCACCATGCTTGGCCATATCTGATATTTTAAATTATGTCTTCAAATCCTAATTATTCATATTCTGGATGTTAGAATTCAAATTATTTGGTCACTACTTAATCTAATAAAAGATTCCCCTCAAACTGACCTAAAGATTCTGTTCAATCCTCTATTTATTATTCCAGATGCATATAGTCCAGTAGAAATAATAGAGACCATGAATAGGTTTTAACCTGTGTCTCACAGTATAATATTAATACTTGAGATTTTTACTTGCTGATGTAAAATAATGAGTTATTCTCATTTTTAAGATTTAAGTTGATTTCTTGCTGATATATGAGGCTCCCAAGTAGACTCTTGAACTTGGGTGTTGTTATAGTAATCCCATTTGGCATGAGCTTGGTCTCTGAATACAGAATTGAGACTGTTACCCTGCACAAGATCCATATCTTAAGTCACAGGAAGATGTAATTAAGTTCTATCAGAACAGAATGAGTAATTCTATTATAGCAGAATCAGCCATATTTGGGTAGTTGTAACCATAAAGATGTGTTTCATATTTAAATTCTTGGGCATTTATGAAAAAAACTATTTTAGACTAGGTGGTTAAAGCAATATTTATATCTTACATAGGCCCTTAACCATCTTGTCCACTATAATTTTGCTGTTGGTCTCAAAAAAGGGTCTCAAACAATTGTCTTAGAACAATTATTAGAACTTTATTGGCTGTTAGAGTCTCTCTTTTAAGCAGATTTTTTTATTTTTTTAAGTTTCATTGGCTCTAGACAAAATGATAAACTGTTTCCAGGAAGCTCATAAACTTGGAACTCTGTCTTATTATGTTTGTATCAGGCTTTATTTTAAAGGCAAGTGAGATTGCTTCAAATAAAACAACTCCAAGCTTCAAAGAAACAGTGAAGAGAAGGCAGAGACGAGCAGAAACACTTTGCTGACACACAGTTGCCATGGACCTGCATAAGCAGTGGGAGAACACAGGGACCAACTGGCATAAGGAAAAGATGGAATTACTGGACCAATTTGACAATGAAAGGAAGGAATGGGAAAGTCAATGGAAGATAATGCAGAAGAAGATAGAAGAGGTATAACTTGATTTGTTTTGAATATTCTGTAAACTCCAAACTCAAATGAAAATTCTGTTAATGGTTGTTTTAATTGGAAACTATTTTTATTTTCCTTATTCCACCAAAGAGAGGCACTTCTCAGAGACATTTTCTAAACCAAAAACAGCATAACTTTGCCTTACGGCATCTTAGAGACTACGTTTATGTTATAGCCTTATATAAAAATTAAGATCCTGCAGTGTTACTCTATAACGTACCAATTTATTGTTTTCTGCTTTTTCATTTAATGTGTATATGTGTTTTGTTTGCATATATGTATATGTAATACATGTGTGCCTGGAGTTCCTGGAGTTCCTGGAAGCCAAAGGGATGCCAGATCCCCTGAAACTGGGATTATATACAGATGTTGTGAGCCACCATGTGGGTGTTGGGAACTGGACCTGGATCCTGTGTAATAACAGCAAGTGCTCTTAGCACTGAGACATCTCTCCAGCCCAATTTCATTTCGACTACAGAGGCTTGGTACCAAAAGTATGTATGTATTCCACATGAATTTTCAAATACTAGAGTCTAAGATGAAAAATTCAAGAAACATACAATTAGTGGGACGTATGTTATCAAGATTATAATTGGGGGACTGGAGAGATGGCTCAGCAGTTTAGAGCACTGGCTGCTCTTGCAGAGGACCTGGGTTTGATTCCCAGCACCCACATGGCAGCTAACAACTGTCTATAACTTCAGTTCCTGGGAATCTGACACCCTCTCTGACCTCTGGGTATTGCAGGACACGGGTGCACTTACATACATGCAGGTAATACACTCATACACATAAAATCATAAAATATCTTTAAAAAAATTATAATTAGGCATTAGAACAGAGATCATTCCTCAGATGATACATGAATGTGTCTACCGATAGAAATCATATATCAAATAACTAGTATCATCAAAAGGTGTCAAACAGAAAAGTGGCAGTGGACATAAGATTTATTCTGCCAAGGTGGCTTCCATTTGTTTGCCCATTTATTAAGAAATGGACTTTGAAAATGAAATATCTTGGTTCCCACACAGGTATTTTATTCTCTTTATTCATCCCCTTGTTTGGTCTGGAATAGTTCCTTTAAACATTTGCTTTGATGTACATTCATATCTGCTCCAACTGAAAGTTATTAATACATATCTTGCTTTATTCTGGGAAAATCAATAATAGTATTGAATAATACAGTTTTCTTCAATTTGGCAGAGCAGTTATTTGAACAGATTCCTTGGTCTTTTTTTTTTTTTTTTTTTAGCAAATAAGTGTTCTGTGTGTTTACAGTGCAATTACTTTTTATTAATAGCTAAGAAATACGTGGTGAATAAAATACACATTGGCAAGCTGGTATGCCAACACAGTAAATAGAGAAAAAAGGAGCTATTAAATCCCTCCTCTAACATAGGGCTAAGGCATCTGTGATCAGGGACTCTCAGCAAATCTACTTCTTTTCCCTTCATATCTTAGAAAATGTGTTCTGCTTGCTCTCTTCACTGCTTCTCTCACCCAGGACTTGACTTGCCTTGCACAAACAGAGAGATGCCAAAGTCAAGTCAGAATCTTAAACTCAAATTCAGTCAGAGACTGATAGTCACAGGTCACTGGCTTTTGAGGTTCAATTGGCAACAATCTGGAATAATTCTAGAATCTAGACAAAATAGTTAAGGAGGCAGGATTAGTCTGGCCAATTGTTTTAGCCATGTAGCTACAGTAATTTACTGCCTGGTCACATTTGTTATTGTTCAGCAGTTGTTCTGAAAACTCTATAACTTCATCAGTTGGCAGGTATGAAACATGTTTTAAACAGGATAATAGCACATAAACATAATGTCCCTTTCTGCATCAGGAAGACTAAAAGGACTATTTTTTTTTTTAAACACTGGCCATCATGTCATTGATGGCTTCCTGCCTATGGTTACATTGACATAGTTGGGAATGTTTATATCATGTGCTTACCCAGACTTCTCCTAAGTAATACCTCAATCCAAGCACTGTGTGTCTACCTCTCATCATATAAATACAGGCTACAGTGTAGAAAGCTGGGGTAAAAAGACTGAGAAAAATGCAAGGAAATCTTTCTCACAGATTGTAAAGAATCAAAAAAAAATTTTTTAAGGTAAAGTGGTTGTCTTAGTATCAAAAATATTAGTCAAGTAAATTTGGGAAAAAAAATTCATTTTGATTTCTTACAGCTTTGCCGGGAAGTAAAGCTGCGGAGGAAAATGAATGAACACTCTAAGGTCATTGATCTTGATCAAGGGAAGGCCATTCACGATAAAATACTCCCATCTCCTCCAAATGACCCCAAATCAGGACAGTGTGAATTTACACAGATGAATCACAGGGATGATCTGGAAAAAGGAAATAAAACAGAATGGGGCTTCCTCAGAGATGGAAATCAAGTATCTAAAAAACAAAATGAAACCATAAAATCAAAAGTAGGATTTCTGAATTCTTTGGCCTCAGATGAGAAAGAATGTGAAACCTGTTCTGGCCTGAGGACTTCTGAGGAGGAGAATAAGGGCTGTTCTGGAGCCCTCAACACAGTAAGTAAAATAGGATTGGCCAGGAACTATTTCTAAAGAAATATTTATATTTCAAAGTGCTAATAATGATGGTCTTTTTTATGTGTACAAAGGCTCTTGAAGAACTTGCCAAAGTTAGTGAAGAGTTATGCACCTTCCAAGAGGAAATTTGCAGGCGCTCTAACCACAGAAGGTAAGCTGGCATTTGCATGATTATTTTAAGTTATAAAATCAAAAAGGATATTGTTTTTAGTCATTGAATACAAATTGCCTCACCATATATATCTTGGTTCACTAATTTTTAAAACTACTCTTACAGTCTCCTTATAATTTAAGAATACTTTATTCTTTGGGTATTTAGTTAAGGTAGGATTTCTGTAATAACTGAACAGTATCTTTTATTGTGACTCTTTTTCATTCTGAGTGTTTGATCAGGGGAAAAATATACAGCTGGACAAATCCAGTTAAATAAGTTTTTAAACTATGTCAAATTTAACAAATTGGCATTTGAACTATATAAGATATTCTTTTGAAATATTGTATGCCTAAATGGTTTATTTTTTACAGTTGTATACTAAAAACATGCATATTCATCAAAACAATATTATATACGTGCATAAACACATGCCCAAATCCTGTTTTAGGTCAGAATCACTATGTAATTTTAAGACTAAGTTTTATCTGAATTAAAAAAAAAGTAATTTGGAATTCTCTTCATAGAATGGGTTATCCTGGGATCAGCATTAATCTCCTTGACGTGCATGATGTTTTGCATAGAAAATTACAACACTGAGATTCCTTATTTTCCATTAATTCTTGGAAAATTCATAGAATTTTTGTGCTGACTTGCAACAAATTTTGTTAGCCAACTGTGCTGTATATAACGTTGCCTTCTAATTGCTTATCTTTGCCGACCATCCTCTATTATAAGTGTTTATCTGTTCTTCATTGTAAGGGGTCTCATAAGCTTTGGTCATTTGAATGTATAGAAATGATTTTTATTTATTATTTGATTGTTTTATTTGTAAATCTACATTGTTGTTCTATTTGTGTTTCATGTAAATAACTCAGAAAAGACTTGCCAGTTTTCATTTATAGATTGTACAAGGTATGAAACTCTCATGGTCACCCTCTGGGCTTCAAAAAGCAATTCAGAATCTTCAGTATGTAATTTAAAGACTTTATAATTTTTATTTTTAAAGATTTATTATTATATGTGTATATGTGTGACTGTGTGTGTGTGTGTGTGTGTGTGTGTGTGTGTGTGTGTATGCTCACGTGAACGCAGGTGCTGTGGAGTTCGGAAGAGTGTGTCTCATCCTGTGGAGCTGGAGCGATAAGCAGTTGTGGCCTGCCTAAAGTGGGTGCTGAGAACCAAACTCAGGTCTTCTGCAAGTGCGGTATGCTTTCTTAACTGCTGCGACATCTCTCCAACCTAAGATGTTATAATTTTTCAAAGACTTTTCTGTTTGGCACGAGCTAGTGTTTCTGTCTCATTCTTCATGATCCTCTCTGCTTTAAAGTCTGGGTGCTGTTTGTTCTCTTGGTGCCTATGCTATTTATAATCAGAAGTTACTTCTGTTCTCTTTCCTGGATTCATCAAAAAAGAAAAAAAAATCTTACTTTCCTTTTAAGTTCAGAAAATCATCTTTTATTTGAAGTTACTTAGTTCTCGTTGTGCTTTTATTCATATTTACACTATTTTAAATGTTATTCTAAATTCAAGGAAAGAAATTGAGGCTGAAGACGAATAGGAATTATGAACAGGATTTCCATAGGAAAGGAAGAAGGGAGGATATGGCAGAAGAAAAGCTATAGACATGGGAATGCGAAGTGCAGAATCCCTAGGCTGGAGAGATGGCTCAGCGGTTAAGAACACTGGTTGTTCTTGCAGAAGACTCTGGTTTGAATCCCAGCACCCACATGGCAGCTAACAACTGTCTGTAACTCCAGTCCCAGGGGATCCGACAGCCTCTTCTGACCTCTGTGGGCATTGCATGATACAGGTGCACTTACCTAATGCAGGCAATACACACATACACATAAAATAAAAAGAATAAAATTTTAAAAAAAGAACAGAATCACAAAAGACCACATAGTCTAGTTTGAGTCCAGTATGAAGTTTCAGGTAACAGGGAAAATGAGGAACAATGTGAAGAGTTTGGGGCAAAGCCTTGAATTTAACACTGTATTTATCCTACAATAAAGAGGACTGATGTTTACAGTAAGTGGATTTGGTTTTAAAAAAAAAAAGGTCTGTGGAAATTGTGATGCTTTTTCCTATAGCAGTAATGGTTTCTTTTGAGGGCTTATAAAGTTGCCACTAATATACAATGTTTTATAATTGTTTAGGATGAAGTCAGACTCTCTCCTCCAGGAAATGCCAAATGCAATCAGTGTGCCTCATGGGGATCACTTGATCAACAATGGCCAGGGAATTCCTCCAACTAATTTAGAGAAAGAAAAACAAAAAAACATAAAGAATCTGAACTGTGCCACAGGGGTCCAAAGCAATTCTGTGAAAAAGTGTGGAATTGGTACAATTGATTTGCAAAGAAATGAAACTCCACCAATTCCTCCTCCAAGAAGCACCTCTCGAAATTTTCCCGGCTCATATTCTGAACAAGCCCAAGAAAGACTGAAGGAAAGTTTAGAATACAAGTTGGTGGCCTATGAAAGTCAAGGTGAGAGGAAATGGAATTCTCATTTCCTTTTGAGGCAGCCTCTATCATGTCCATATGAAGGGAAGAGTTCAAAAGATACCATGTTTTCCTCTCTGACAACAGAAGTCAAAATAAACAGTAAGCCTCCAGGTAACGAAGACACTGGACCTAATACATGGTACTGTGATACTGGAGTAGGTACAAAAGAGAGTCCTCCTGTGTGGTTTCAGAAAACCAGCTCTACCTCCAATAAGGCAAAATTTGAAAAGGTGTTCCCAGATAACCCTCATCTTGAGCTTCATGTAAGAAGTGACTATAGTCCTTCAGTGACACAGAGCAGTGGCCCTCTCAGAAATTACAATGGCAACTTTGAAAGGACTCCAAGGAATGAAAAGCTGGCAACAAAGATTGATGAATTTAACAGAACTGTGTTTAGAACAGACAGAAATTGTCGTGTAGTACAGCAGAATCGAAGCTACTCAACATCACCTGAGGATCGTAATCCCTTAGATAGCTTAACTGCTCATGGAGGTGACATATCAGAAAGTGATAGTGGGACTGATGTTCTGAAAGCTAGCGACCAGTTGCCTGTGCCCTTGGAAAGTGTGTCCAACAATCCCACAAAGATATCTACAGCGGGCCTGGTCAAACAAATGCAGGAGCGTTTAAGTCCTCGTAGTTCCCAGCCTAGGTTCCAAGAAAATGATTGGAGACCAAGCAATTTCTCAGGCCGGCCAAGGTCAGCTGATCCCAGGTCAAACTATGGAGTTGTAGAAAAGCTGTTGAAAACCTACGAGACGGCAACAGGGTCTGCACTGCAAAATTCTAAGTGTTTCGGGGATAACGGGACCAAGAGTGACTCTGATGTAAGTGGTGGTGCCATGTTGCATCAACATTTAAAAATGTGTCAAGAGGAACAAGAGATTAAACAAAACAACAGTTTTGCGTAGGGATTATCAGGTGGAGCAAAGGGCAGATTCAAATAAGATAACAGAGGTGAAGAAACAAATTTTGAGTTCTGGTAGGACTCCATCCATATTTAGCAGTAGCTTTGAAGTTAGCACAGTTGCTCATTCTTATAAGTAGGATACAGACATAGTTCGGCATTTTTCTTAGCTTCTTGATCCTTTGTGAGTAAATAATCTAGTATGAATTTAAGGCACAGTTTTTGAAATGGGTATTAGTACTTGATAATTTTTTTAAAATAAATAATATTAGGACCAGGTATGGTGGCACATGCCATTAGTCCCAGCTCTTGAGAGGCAGTGGCAGACAGATATTTCTGTAAGTCTAGGCCATCCTGGTCTACATAGTGAATTCCAAACCAGCCAGGGCTACAGAGTGGGATCCTATCTCAAAAAATATAAATAAATAAATAAATAAATAAATAAATAAATAAATAATAAATAAATAAATAATAATAGAGCGTGCCTTCAAGAAACTCAGGAGAGCCATTTGTAGTT